ATGATCTATTTCACTGGCTTGTTTAAGTTTAGCAGAGGTGTCTTTTACCAACTGTCCAATATGTAACCTGGTCTTGTGCCTGCAAGGAAAGTCAACAATGGATAAAAACATGTTATAATAGGAACAAAGATTAAAATGGAAATTGCAGACGAATAAAATCGTAGAGTCTCTAAGGTAATTGACAACTGACAAACCAAGTTTTATGTTACTTAATGAGAAATTGGTCACATAACATATCAGTTGAAACGGCCAATAATTATTTTTTTTAAGTTTATCCGTTATATCAATACGTGGGTACAACCACCATCCTGAAAATTGTACTAAAAGGACCACATAATTGATTCCTTAAGCTACTCACGGGTACAACCACCATCCCAGCAGATTTAAGATTTTGTGAGTCAATGTAGTTATGGCAATACTTTGGGGAAGCTGAGCTTGAGAGAAATCATATGCCATTTTATGATGCATCGTTACATGAAGAAAAGATTGAGGATGTAGTGTATTATCCTAGCTTTTTAGATGGTGTTACTTATCCAAATCCTATTAAATTATTCTGTTCTCTTAATTCACACAGCTTCAAGCCACTTGGAGAACCGTTTGTCAAGGTTTGGGTTACAATGTTGCTTACCAGAATACGCACGAGCGTATGTGTACCCATATATACATATATCGGTCAAAGCCTAGCCTCAAGGTGAGATGGTTCTCAAATTCAATGGCCCTTTTTCTTTTTTCTTAAGAGACCATGTTATTAACAAATAATGCAAAAGAATACAAACTAGGGGCTGGGGTAAGAGGAGACCCCAGTCCAAAAGAGCCAGTACAAGAAAGCATTCGAATCAAGATTAATCACAAAAACATTGTGATTAGGAAAGAAAATTTTGACAGCCTTTTCAGACGTGGTTATTGAACTTTCCTTGCATTTCAATTTGAATTCAAAACTTATAATTTGTCTCGAAACTATAGGATACGTGATCAACTTTCAGAAACAGTATTAAGTAGAATCATAGGAGATACTGGATTAAATTTCTCTTCAATAAATGTGCAAGCCATCTTAATTTTGACGATAAACAAACTCAGCCTAAATCCTACCCGTAAGTTTTAACTAAAATCAGTGCAATTTCAGTAGTTTGTGTACATTAATTAATCTTTAAGGTTTTCTAATGTAGAGTTGGAGATTAAGCACCGTTCAGACATGAGAAAAAATAAATAGCCAATTGTCCTTTGGTTGCACTGAATAGAAGTGCCAGACATGCTATTTCTAAAAATCCAATTGAAGAGACCTGAATTAAATATGATGAAGTCCATGGAAAACTTGTATATATGGAAATTCCGATCAAGTGAACCAACTATCATCTCATATGGTTCGTATTACCTTCCCACACTCCCAACAGAACTGCAGAGAGCCAAACTCTAAGAGCTCTAGAAGCCGCATAGCAAAAAAAAAAAAAAAAAAAATTAGGGTAAGATTCAACCGTTCACAATGGACATCATGACGCGAGTTCAAACAACGAATATCCATCCCCATGCAGATCTTTCACACGGTGAGAATTTTTCCCTAGAGGACCCCTCCGTCAGGGAAAACCGACAATAACAACATAGAAAACAGAAGAAACCTCTAAATTTGACACGAATACTATCTACGAGTGACAAACAGCGCCATTGCATCAACTTCAAAGTAAGAACATTCCAAATTCCAACAAACAGACCACGATTCACAAAAATTGGAGAATACATTACAAATGCCATGGATGCCATCGACGAATCATACAAATTCAGAAACCCTAACTACAGGAAAAAAAAAACAAAAACAAAAGAATAGACAGAACTCACAGCTTCTCGCGTAGCTCAGGGGTGTCCTTGGGGGTTCCTAAGGTGTTGACAAGCCTCTGAAACGTAGCGACGGCAGTATTAATCTGAAAAATACCCGAGGCAACGGCTTGCGTGGGATCCTGTTTGCCATTGATGAGGTCTCTCCTGGAAGAAGCAAACGGCCGGCCAGCCTCGATATCTTGAAAGCTCATGTCGCCGAGATCCTAAGTTTCCGAAGAGAAAACGGGAGAGAGAATTCAAGAAATCGAAACTTTTTTTCCCCTGGAAAGAAGGATCCGGCAGGAATCAAAAGCCGTTGCTGTTCGCGAGGATCAGAGAATCCTCAATTGGGGGAAAGGGCGGATTAGGGCAATTGAAGATTGGCCTTTGAGGAAATCGCAGCGATGGGGAAATTCAACTTTTTAGAGAGAGAGAGAGATGGAGAATAATGATATGGGGAGGTGGAGAGAGTTTCGTTATGCTGCGAGGGCAGGATGATGATGACGTGTAACTCATGACACGTGTGTGGCTGAGATTGTTAGAAATCGAGAAGGACAAGGATATTAATTAATATTATTATTCCTTTTAATTAAATATTGTATTACGAATTAATCATTCATTTTTTTAAAATGTTAAATATGTAGCCTACCATCTTAATAACAACAACACCAATAATAAGATTAAATTATGTTAATGTCAAACATAGCTTAGTGCCTCTCCAAATGTTTGGGAGGAGAATCCGCGATTTGATCTGCCAGCTTGAATTATTGGTCAATAAAATCGATCGGAGGAGTATTTTCCTGTATCATTCATCATAATTGTGATGATGTAGCTGAGTGTACGTTCGATCCACCATACAAGGTCAGATCGATCAAATTGGGGTGTTTTTTTATTCAAACCAAGCAGAAGCATATCCAGATACTTATTATCATCTCAAGTGTCGATATGGGTCGATCTCCATTGGTAACTATTAAAGGAAAATAATAATATTAAATTATAAATTCAGTGGTTAGGAATGTTTAGAATTGATTTTTTTTTCAATTGAATAATTGTTAGAGTTAAAGATTAACCCTCTGTTTGGCGTCAAGAAAGTTGATGAAATAATTTTAAATTCTGTGATTTGAAATATGAGAAATGAATTTAAAATTTTTTTATCTTTGTTTGGAAAAAGAATTATTTGAAACGAATTAAATTAGATTTATTTGTTTGGATGTTCACCGAAAATGAAAAGAAAATAGAAATTTTACTGATTTAGGTTTTAATTCTAAATTTATTAATTAGAAATTAAAATATGACGTGGTGAAATAGGTAATTTACTTCAAAAGTCTATCAAATCCTGCAAAATCCGACCATTTTGATGTGGAAAGTTTTTTAAGTAAAAATACGATTTGAAATCTTCTCATTTAAAATCATGTGCTACCAAACAGTAGAATTCATTTGAAATTCGTCATAATTTTGAATTCCTTCATTCAAAATCCGAAGTACCAAACAGAGCATAAACCATCTACTTTTCGAATGATAGTAGATGTCTTTATTTTAGTATAGATTTGCGAGTTTAAAAAGGTCGAGTCTACATCAAACTCGTGATGGAAAATATGCTAATCGAAAGTGCAAGCCAATGGGTCATAGACCCACTTTATTAAGAGAAGAAAAAGTGAAAAGTTGAGGTTACACGTGCTCCTTTGGCCCTTAGGTAGACTTGCTTTGGTCTAATAAGTCCTTTTGTTAACTACACCATTGAAACGGCCACGAATAAAATAGTCAATGTATCATATAAGAGTTAAATTGATAGAGTTAATACTATAATCGACTTTTTTTATTTTTGTAAAATTTTATACTATAAACCTATTAGATATATAATTAAAAGTTTAGACATCTATCATAAACTTTAAATATAACAATCGGATAAGTATAATAAGAATATATTACCATTTTTCAAGAAGAACTATATATATATATATATATATATATACATATATTTGAAAAAGTTTTAAAAACTATATGATACTTATAATTTTACCGAGTAATAATAATAATTATGATTTAACCTCGCTTAAATCAATCTAAATCAAATACTATTTTTAAGTACAACAATAATGAGCTAAGTAATATTGTCTGGATGTAGTTAAATAAAGTAACAATTGTTTTTTATTATATACACTCATAAATATATATATATATATACATACATACAAGTACGAGAATGAATGAGTCATTTCTATTGTGTCAAAATTCTTCCAAACTCAAAATTTACACAATTGTCCATGAGTCTCTGTGTTTCTAAAAAATATTTGATCGTTGCGTATGGATATAGCCTATAATTGATATTTTAGTCGGTGTCTATTCAACTAAAATTAATTTACCTAAAAATATTATCAAATTGAAGAAGATGTGGACTAATCGCAACATAATTTGAGAGACTACGTAATTTCAATTTTAAAGAAAAGAAAACTGAGTCAAAATCAAATAAATAAACAAATAATCCTGTTAAGAAGTCTTTTAATTGTCCCAATTCACTAAAAAACAAGAAAGGAAACGGAAAAAAATAAAAATAAAAAAGGAACTAAACGTAATGGTCGGTTTATAGTCCAATTTGTATAGTCCAAAATTAAAAAGAGTAGCTAATGTTTAATATATAAAATAAATTTGTTGTAGGTGAGAATAGAACTGCGGACGTAGGAGCACTTAAGGTTACACACGTGATAATTAGGGGTGTTCAAAAAATCTGACAATTCGACAAATCCAATCTAATCTATAAGGATTGGGTTGGGTTGGAAAATTCCCAACCCGACACGGTCGGGTTGGCCCCGTAAAAAGTCGGGTTAACCCAACTCGACCGGACCCGAAATTATGTTTTTTTAGATATATATATATATATATATATATATATAATTTTTCTCTTCACTTCATCTCAGTTGTCCGTTTTGACAACACGCCCTTATTGCAGCATTGCCTATAGCAGGATCGTGGTGGTCGCCGACTGGGACGACACCACGTGTTGATAATGTCCCTACGACCCGCTAGAGCTCGTATGCAAGCGGGGCCTGTCACATCCTGCGCCAAGCATCCTCATGGTCGACTCCGTCACCTATAAAAGGGAAAGAATTCCATCTCACATGGACAAGTGAGAAATTTGTCACTAAATACACTGAGTTCTCTCTATTTTCCTCCTATCATTCGGTTTATTAACTTGATTGTTGGAGGACCTTAGGTAGGGCACCGCACCAATGTCGAGGTTGACTTGTCTCACGACCCTATTGAAGGATTGGTGGACGAGTAAGATTTCAACGTCAACAAAATTTATTTAGATAAAGTACACAAATGGTACCCTAATTGACATAATTATAAATTTGTTGAGATACTCGTAAATGAATTAAATTTACTCAATTCATCCGCTTAAACTTTTTGGATTGAGTAGTGGTTTAAAGAGGAAGTATACGAACTTGTTTGTTTGATTTTATTAACATATTTTAAAATGATACATGAATATCTCACTCGTATATTACTCGGTACATAAAACTCAATTCGATCATTAGTAAAACTTAAACATGCACGTAAAAGAAATCATTTATTACAAAGTAGTATGTTAAAGGTGTTTTGTTAATAAATCAATAATGTAATGTCACATCAACTTTTATTAACAAAATGTATTATCTTTTTTTAATATGATAGGGGTAAAATTGATGATTTTGAAAATAGAAAATTAAGTTGAGACTTATCTAAAAGATTAGGTATATTTAGCCCTTGCCATTAACCAGTCAACTTACCGTAATTAAACAAAAGTTAAATTACAAGGTCCTTGCTGTTCAAGTATAACTTCAATTTAGTCCCCATAATTTTAAAGGTTTTAATTTAGTATCTATGATTTTTTAACTTGGTCCATATAATTTGACTTAAACTCATAAATTTTTTATTTTTTTACTCAACCTTTGAACTCTAATACAGTCAACTAATACAACTAGCTAACCGTATTATATAAACATGTGTGGTGAAGATTCGAACTCATAATTTTTTTGGTGAAAATATTATCTTAGTTGAGTTGAGATTGATTACAAATAGCTAACGAGAAAGCATAAACTTATTGTCACTTACAACATTTGTGAGTATGCTAACGTGAGCAACTCAATTGGTTAATGCATATATCATCAACAAAAAAATGTTGATGTTGGAGGTTTGAATCCTCACGCCCATATTTTGTTAAAAAAAAATTCAAAAGGATTAAACTGAAATTAAAAAAATTGTAAAAACTAAAATGAAACTAGTCTAGATAATAAAAAATAATTTTCTTTTAGTACAATAATAAGTGGAGGTGTGAATTTGAATTTGCAAACATTTCAGTAGAAAATATATATAGACATGCTAAAGTTGACCATAAATAACAAATTAAAGCTAAACCCGAAGAATAGAGAATAAATTAAAATTACTTAGACTAAAGTCAAAATTTGTTTAATCTTGAACCAAAATTTCGTAATTTAATTAAAAAAAATTAGCCAGAATATAGTTCAACGAGTTAGGGTATATGTATCAAACACGAGAGTGAAAGTTGGAATATCAATCCTTGTACTAAAAAAAATTAAAAAATTAAAAAATTAATTTACCTTTAAATTTAAAAAACAACTAAATGCTGATTTGGTAATTTTATATCTGGGTTGAGGACAGGACCTGGAGGTTGCAAGTTTACAACGTGGCCCGTCACAATGCCCGTGCAGAAGGCCGTCCCGTTATGGAAATTCCCGCGTTCCCGTTATAACTTAACGCGCTCCGTTTTAAGTCCACGACGGTACTCCAACGCGCGTAATAGCGCGTGTTATGTACCGCTTGTGCGAAATATCTCGATACTATAAATATCCATCCAAACGAAGCCTGGTTCTTCGTGCCTTGGCTTGCGATTTTCTTTCATCAGAGGCGACGAAGACTTGGGAGCACTGAGCGAAATCGCCGAAATTCAGAAACAACAATTTCCGAACTAATTCGTGAAGGTTTCAGTTTTCCGGAGATCATCGGCTGATCCCGTCATCGTTCCGGCGATTTTTTCTTCGCCATTTCCAGCGATGTCGGTCAGTAGTTCATAAATTTCCCTCTCTTTCCGCCGTGTTTGAAGATTAGGATTGGGAGGGGGAATAGTTAGGGCAAATATTTCGTTGGGTTAGATTTTGAGCCGTCGTCTGTAGTTTTCATTGGGGTTTTGACGAATTAGTTGTTTCCGAAGCAATGTGCAGCGATGGGATTAGATCTCTTGTGGTGGTTTACTTTCCCGTTTGACTTTCTCATTTTGGGGGTTTTGTATTATGTCAAGATTTTTTCTAATTGGTGTGTCAAGAATCAGGATTGATGTCTAACCGCACGGCTCCATTTCTACGTTTTGATTGCTGAAATGTATTCTAAGTTTGTGCTATGTTCGTTCCTCCCACTGAATCTGGAGCTGCAAAGAATCATACATTCGAAACTGAAACCAAGAGCGTTAGCCTGTCATTAATACTTGAACTGTATTATACTTCGCGCCTTGGATCCTAATTGCTGCTTGGTTTATCGATTTCCATCGTTTTCTTCGCTGTACCCATGAGATTTTCCTTTTATATTTTTATTTATTTTCTGGCCATAATTCATCTTTTACTCTCTTTCAGCCGTATGCTTATCACGGTTCAGTTGTAGCAATGAATTTAATTTATCCACCCTCTTTTGAGATAGCGAGAGATTTCTTGATCTTTGTCCGAAGTGTTTCTTTTGGATATAATAGCAACCATTCTACTTCTCTATGCAGATTAAGACTGTTAAAGTCAGCAATGTCTCCTTGGGAGCGTCTGACCGAGACGTCAAGGAATTTTTTTCCTTTTCCGGTGACATTGAATATCTGGAAATGCAGAGGTTTGTGTAAATTTTTATTTTCAGTTTCTGATCTTTTTTTTTTCCGTTTAATTTTTTGCAAAGATCGAGTGATGTTCTGGTGCAGTGAAAGTGAACGGTCTCAAACTGCTTACGTAACCTTTAAAGATGCACAAGGAGCTGAAACTGCCGTCCTTCTATCTGTAAGTTCACTTTGTAGACAATGCCTCTAGTTCTCAGTAATTATAGAAGTTTTATTCCCCATTGGCAGGAATTTAAGATATGACCATTGAAGATTAGAATTATTATTGGAGCTGTTTGTCAAAGTTGAAATATTTGTGGTGGTATAGTTGTTTAATATTAAAAAAGGATTATAAAAATACAGTTACAGGATGGTGTTCTTGGCTGTTATTGGTGGTCGCATAGCCTTGTCCAGGGAGAGCATGGTGCTTTAACTATACTAGGGAGAGAATAGAAAGGGCTTTCGAAGGGGGATCGAGTGGGTGATGGGCAACTGGCTAAGGGAGAAACTAAATCTCTTTGTTTGTTTTCTTCATTTATACCTTACCCCCGATGTTTTAAAACTCCTTTGAGACATAAGCAGAAAGGCCTTCGAAGGGGGGTCAAATGGGTGATGGGTAACAACCGGCTAAGGGATAAGGGGAGATTTTTGGAGGTGCTGTTGTTCCCCCTTTCAGGGGAAGGGGAGATTTTTGTGACAGTCTTGTTTTTTTGCTACTTTATGGGGAATTTGGTTGGAGAGAAACAACAGAATTTTTAGAGGTGTGGAGAGGTCCCTCGA